TCCTTTGAATTCCTGGTCTTTTCTGTGTGGTGTCGCAAATAAAGAATTGCAGTAGGATTCTGAGGGCAGAAAAAGCAGCAGCTGTGCCACAGAATTCATGTGTGACTTTGAGAAAGTTGTCCAACTCTATGTGCATTTGTTTCCCCATTCGTAAATTATAGAAAAGAAAACTTACCCTACAGGAGCACAGTAAAACTTAATTAGGCTTCTGTTAGTAAAGTGCTTTGAGATCCTCAGGTTAGAAGCATTAGACACCTTAAAAGAAACTCTTGAGTGGATTGGAATTATTACAGATAGGACTGTAAAATCTGTGGGGCAGAAACTGTGGGCAGTATCGCACCTTGAACCTGATCGTTGTTGCAGCCTGTGGATGTTACAGCTATTCTTAATTATTAGTTTTTACTTTTATTAAAGAGAAATTAGAATGTTAATGCAAACAAGTCAGCTTCATCTTATTTACTCAAAATTGTAGCCTTCTGAAATCTAGATAGCTCTTTTTAAAATGCTTAGTGCTAATACAACTTTGCCCCTATTGAGGCAGTGGGAGTTAGGCCTTCTTTCCACTGTGTAGTCTATTGATGCTGCAGTGATTGATTTATCATGTCTGCTTAGACACAATAAATTGATCTGTGAGTGCTCTCCTGTTGACTCCGGTACTCCACCAGGATGAGTAGCTGGAGTTGAAGGGAGAGCAGCCCCCACCGATCTTACCATATGGAAGACGCTGCAGTAAGTATGTTGACTTCAGCTATGCTGTTTGTGTAGCTGAAGTTGCATAGATCGATGGAGTGGCGGCTAGTGTAGACGAGGCATTAGACGGGAGCTGAACACTTTTGAAAGACTTTTTTCCTAACTTCTTTTTTTGTCATCTCTGATGTTTGTGTTGCAATTGTTTTTTCTATAACTTTATCAACCTCCACCCAACACTTCTTGAAGTTACACCATCAAATAAAAAAAATAAGAAAAATATGCCAGAACTATCCAGTGTTAATATTAGTCATACTCTACTTAGACATTCTTGCAGAGTTTTTGTAAATTTATTGTGGTTTTAAAAGGCAAGTCACATTTCTTAAATTACTGATAATAGCTTTCACTCAGTCAAATGGTATAAACTATAGAGACAGTAGTGTATTTTATAGCCTGTTTAATTCAAAGTGTAAAATGCTTAAAACTGTTCCTTCAAATTGTTTTCCTTAGACCCCCCTGAGATTTGTAAGTGCTTGTTCAAACAAATTACAGTCCAGTAGGAAGAAGACATTCTTTATAGAGTCTGTTCTTTCTACTTCTTTAAGACTTCAGGGACAACTTTAACTATTATATAGAAAGGTATCAATAAGCAACTTTAACAACCATTAACAATCACATTTCAGTTTATAATGTTATTGTTCATATTGCCCTAGGGAAAGCAAGGAAATGCGTGCTAACCAGGCTAAAATTTCTATGGAAAACAGCAAAGCCATAAGCCAGGATAAATCTATTAAAAATAAGGCTGAAAGGGAGAGGTAAGTGTCAGATCCATGTATGAGGAGGAATAATTGATTGATCTGCATTCACATTGACTAAAGTATGCTATGATGTGTGGGAAATGGCTTGTGTTTCTGTCTGTTATGCTGTATATATTTTAGATGGCTCTTTCTGGGCAGTGTGTATTTGTTTCTTTGTTGTGGATCTTATAGTTTAGGCCCCAATTTTGGAAATACTAACAAAGGAGCAAACTTCACACCCATGTGTAGTGCCATTGGCTACAATGGAACTAATTACACAAATAAAGTTAAATGTATATGAAAGTATTTCCTGAAATAAGCCCTTAATTTTTATTCACTGATCTGCTTTTTTGCCCTTTAAATGTCATGCAGTATCACTTGCTTACAGTTACTTATTAGGGTTGTTAGAGATGCCCTGAGAAGGCAGTGTTGAAACTTGGGCCTGGTTTTGGGTGAGTCTTGGGTTCAGAGAAGCAGGAGAGGTAGTGCCACTAGAGGAATGGGAAATGGAAAGGTAGCACAGAACCTTCACTTTTGCCCTCTCCTGGCAGGGTTGAGAAATGGAACAGGCATTCCAGAGGGAGCAGCAGATGGGAAGGAGGTTGTGGGGGGAAAAGGGGTTCAGTGTGAGATTAGTAAGAGGGAGAACCAGTTTTGGCAGAGGGATGCAAAAAAAGGTATGAGGGATAGAGAAGCCGGGGTTGTTTTCTATTGACAGTGTAGTATTGTTCATGTTTTCATCTGCCTGTCTCAGACCACAGCTTCCTCCTTCACCCGGTGCTGGCTGACTGGTCTTAGAAACCTGGCCAATACTCCCTGTTAGTGGGCTCCAAACCCCAAGAGGCCAGAACCTAGAAAAAGCCAAGCAGCATGTCTTCACTGCACCTTTGGCAGAGCTATCCCTAGTTTTGAAGTCCGACCTCCAGATTTAGGTGACCAGAGACATAAATTTCAGATTTCTTGCATTTTCCAGAGGTTGGGGGCTGTTTTTGTAGCTCTTTAAAATTCTGTTTTAATCTAAAGTGTTTCGAATATACAGGTGGAAGCAGTGTTTATATGATGGTTTCCCATGAGCCTTCAAGGTTTCTTTGGGGCTTTGGACTTGCTAGATAGTTGAACGTTTTCTCCTTCTATTGCCTCCTCTTCATTGAACTATTTGGATATTAGAGCTTGAATTTATTCCTTCTGTATGTATGAACAGTGGCATTTTATAGATTTCTAGTACAAACTGGATAAGAGTTGCCAAAACCCTTGGTTTATGAAAGCCATCTGCTAATGACATTTCATTACTGATGTGTGTTTATGCATAAAAGTAAGCTTAAGACATTGCTCTCTTAGGATACGTCTAGACTACAGGGTTTTGTCGACAGAAGTTTTGTCGACAGATACTGTCGACAAAGCTTCTGTCGACAAAGAGCGTCTAGACTACATTCAGTTCTGTCGACAAAACCCTAGATGCAACAACACCTTCTGTCGACAGAACTCTGTCGACAAAAGGTGTTATGCCTCGTAAAATGAGGTTTACCAGCGTCGACAAAACTGGTATAGTTTTGTCGACAAAAGTCCACTTTTGTCGACAAAACTCTGTAGTCTAGACACACCTTAGACTTCTGCAATTAGTCTAATTCAGCTCTTTCAATTATTTTTGTCAGCTCATTAGAATTCTTTATATGTATTATATGCATTGTATGTAAACGTTAATTATATATTTTTATAATGTAAATAATAACTATAAAATATCAAAAATAGATCCTATCAAACTAACTTTACATATTTTTGATGAGATGACAAGTCTGGTTGCTATAGGTACTAGTGTTGACATAATAGACCTCTGTAAGGCATGTGACTTGGTACACATGATGTTTTGATTTAGAAACTAGAATATAAAAAGTACATGGCACACATTAAATGGATTAAAAATTAGCTAAATGATGGGTCTCAAAATGCAACTATAAACAGGGATTCATCATCGAATGGGTCTGTTTCCATTGGAGTCCCAGAGAGATCAGTTCTTAGACTTTCACTATTTAACATCTTCATCAATGACCTAAAAGAAAACAAAATCATCACTAATAAAGTTTGCAAATGACCCAAAAATTGGGGGAGTGTTAAATAAAGAAGACACTTCACTGGCTCAAACTGGGAACAAGCAAACTAATGTATGGCTAAATGTTAGTTCCTGATTTAAGGGGATTCATGGTATTATCTTATAGATTTATATCTTATGGGTTATAGGCTCACCAATTAATGTAATCAGAAGATAAGGTTCTTGTCCCATAATCAGGCCACTCAGTTTTTCAAGGATCCTCAGGATGTATAACAAGAACACTTACACTGAAAGCAAAAATACAGCTTCCAAGTCTTTTATGGAGATAAATGGAATAGTCATCAAAGGGAAAAATAATCAGAATGAAAAAGGAAACAATATTGTTCTAGAGCAGCCATGACCAACCTGCGGCTCGTGAGCCGCATGCGGCTCTTCTCCCTCCACCCCCCGGAAGGGTGCAGCTCACGTAGCCCCCTCACTCATCCCACCCACAGCTCCTAAAGCCACTCTTAAGCCCAAAAATGGCCTTCTCCTCCTAGCTCCCTGTGCTCACCGGAGCAGGGGAGCCATCCAGCGTGGCCATTAAAGATGGTGTCAGCTGGCGGGAGCCTGATGTGGCCAAAGGGGCAGTCTTTTTTTTAAATTTTATTATCTTATCAACAACTTTGTCCCGGCTCTTCACACTCGATCCACTGATATCTTGGTTCTTTGCCCAGAATGGGTGGGCCACCCCTGTCGTAGAGGCACATGTGGTATAATTCACTGTAAAACTTCCTAGATTAACATACTCGGATGATTCCTTGATAACCTGCCGATAAGAGACAAAAGACCAGCCTTGGGGCTGGCATGCCAACAGAGTCTGCAGGTCCAGGTTCCTCAGTTCTCAAAGATGAAGAACTTAAGAGAAGCCAAACAGCTAGAAAGCTACAGAAAGACCCAAGAGAAGCTAATTTAAAACCAAACTAAAACTCACTCACTAAACATGGTGGTTTGTTCCTTGCATAGAGCCTGAGCTCTTTGTGCCCGTCCTCCATGTCCAGACTCACCCACATATCATCAGAGTATGCTTACTCTATAGCAGAGCTACTCAACTTTGGAAGCCCTGGAGGCCATAATGATACTCACAGCACATGCTGAGGGCCGCAATGTAAGTGTGGTTGCATATACAAGTAAATGTGTATGCAAGTATATGGAAATAGCTTCTTTCACACAATGCCCTGATGCTCCCGGCTCCTCCTCACTGAGGGCTAGAAATGCCAACACCCTGTACCTGTCCGTTCCAGCTAGACTGTCTGCTTGCATCTTTCAATGCTCACTCCGCCGGGGAGATGCCTCGCTGTTGTGGAGTGTGTTCCCAGTGGAGGCCATGTTCAAAGGATCCCACCCACAGGCCATGTGTTGAGCCCTGCGTAAACCCAAACCGCACCATGGGCTGCATGTTGGGTAGCCCTGCTCTATAGGCTGGTATATTCAGACATATTATAGTGGTCATTAGCTCATTCTCAGATCTCTTAGTTCTGGCCTGAACTGGTTTGGTAGTGGTTACTTCTATGTTCTTTATAGTGTACCTGTTCAGTTAAGTTTATAGAGGGCAATTGGTTGGCCGCTAATATGGGCCAAAGATCTCAAATATAAGTATGCTAATCTGCCTCATCTTACCATTATTATCTGTGTCTAATTTGCTTTTCCTCATCATCACATGGGATGTGGCCTGTAAGTTCTGTTCCAGCCAAAATACACTAGATTTATAAATCTATTATAATAAAAACAATCAGTAAACCCATAAAAAAGGACATAGCAAAGCAAGCAGGTTAGCCCTATGAGCTACAGATGCAATTGTATACATCTGAGAACAAAGAACATAAGCCATGTGTACAGGATGGAGGACTCTTATCTTGGGAAGCACTGAGTCTTAAAGAGGTGGGGGTCCTGGTGGAAAAGCAGCTGAACATGATCTCCTTATGTGATACTTTTGCCAAAAGAGCTTATGTGGTCCTACGAGGCATGGGCATGGGAATCTTTAGCAAGAGTAGAGAAGAACTGTTAAACACTACTAGGAGCTGGTTAAACTACAGGTTGAACCTCTCTAGTCCAGACCTCTGGACCTGACCGGTGCTGAACCAGAGAATTTGCCTGACCACGGGAGGTCAGTATTGTCTGTCAGCATTACCAACACTTCCCCTGCTTTACTGGGCTCTTAGAAGACAGTAGAGCTAAGTAAAAGCACAGAACACTGAGAGCCAGCACTGGTGGCTGTTAAACTTTATGGGACCATGGAAAACTTGGCCATATCCATGATAAGTGGACATCTGGCTAATTAAAATCATGCCGGACCAGAGCGTGCCAGACTAGAGAGGTTCAACCTGTATTGTAGTGAAGCATTTTTAAGGTCAGAGTGCAATAGGAGATACAAGGATTAATAAAACAAACTCGGTTAAATGGATAATTCTAGGATGGGGATCAAACCAAACTTAGTTCACAGAAATCTTGGTCAGTTTCTTCAAACCATCTTAGCCACAGCATGCAAGATAGCCAGAAATATTGAACATAATGTAATAACTTAGGGCTGGAGTAGGGTCTTGCTCTTCAATTAGTCTCACTGACTTCAGTGGAACTACTCAGTCTAATGTAGCGTGTGCCAAAATAATCCCCTCAATTAACTTCTCCTTATCACTGACTCAGGTCATTCTGGCTCTTGGACTTCTTAATAAATCCTGAAGCTCAAAATCCTTTTGTTGTTGGTTTGTTTTTAGGCGAGTAAGAGAACTAAACAGCAGCAACACTAAAAAATTTCTGGAAGAGAGAAAAAGGGTAAGTTTAATTTTGATGAGAAACCAGTGTGTGTGTATGTGGTTTGTTAACTGGAACCTCACCTCTTTCAGGAATTATATCTCCAACTTCTGTACAGCGTTTTGAATGTACCCTTTAGTTATCGCATTCCAATGACATTGACGATTTCTACTAGCTTAAGAAACTAGAGACTTAGGGTATACCTACACTATGAAGTTTTTCCGGGGTACCTCCAGTATCCCGGAAAAACCCTGCCGTGTCCGGGGAACGCATCTGCTCTTCCACTTTTTTTTGCGGAAGAGCAGATGCGCTCTTTCAGGGAGCCCTGTATTCCTCGTTTCACTAAGCTCATCCAAAAGAGGAGGCTTTTCCATCATTTGGTCCCCTCTACACGGGGCAAAATGTTGGAAAAGCGTCTTCCGAAAAACCAATCAGGAAAAACTACGCAAACTGCGGAGCACAATTTGCCTAGCTTTTTCCAATAAGAGTGCAGTCTCAGCATAGCCTCAGAGTCAGTTTTAAACTGAATTTCAAGGTCTCTCTTCATTATGAAGCTGACACGGAGCCCGCTCCTGAACTTCTAAATTCTGACTGAAATCTGTGGGCATTTTATCTGAATTCCCCTTTCCATTTACCAGAGTTGAGAATTGACTCATAAAATGAATTTTTGTCTCTGTTTTCTGACACATACAAGTCAAAATCCTAAGCAGAGTTAAAGTAACATGAGCAAAGTATGTATAACTCATTAGTATGATGCATGAATTGAAATAGTTTGCTCTGGTATATATTTTAGCTCTGTTCAACCATAAACAATCCAGAGCAGTGACCGTGCCTTCTCCTAATGTTTTGTGCAACACGGTGAACACCAGCCAATAATATTTTTAGAAACTACCCATGTAGACAAAATAATGTGTGTTACGTGTCACCTGTATTGTCTTCTGTTGTTTATAGCTGGCAATGAAGCAGTCAAAGGAAATGGATCAGTTGAGAAAAGTTCAGCTTGAGCATCTAGAAGTCTTGGAGAAACAGAATGAGCAGGTATTTTATTTAAAAGAAAAGTGAATGAGAATTTAAAAGAGAAAGAGTACAATTCCACTCGTAGGGTACATCCACATGGTTCTCAACCTGCGGCTCAATCAGCACATAGCTACGGCCTACATGACATCCTCAGGCCCACACAGTGTTGTATGTGACCCGCAATGGTAAATAGGTTGAGCGCCACTAATCTACACAGTAGCTGGGAAGTGTGATTCCCAGTTTGGGCAGATGTACATCCACCAAATAAGCTCAAACTAGCACCTAAAAAGAGCAATATGGCTGCAGCCGCTAGGGCTAGCCACCCGAGTGTGTACCCAGGAGACTCAGGAGAACTGTACTTGGCAGTCAGCCTGAGATGCAGCTGGTGGCATCATAGCCACACTGCTATTTTTGGGTCTTAGCTCAAGCAGAGCTAGCATGGGTGTGTGCACCCACACTGGGAATTACACCTCCCAGTTGCTGTTTAGACACACCCCTGGTTCTTCTGACTGCCACTCGGCAATGAAATTAGCTCCAAACAGCTTTTATTTTTGCCCACTCACCTATTTGGGGGTGGAAAATGTAGGATTGGAAGGATTTCCAAGTGCTATGGCCTTCAGACGTGGTTCAGATAAGCATCTAAACTTGACTGCATATCCAAATCTCATCCTCCAACTTGTTCAAACTTCATAAGACTGGATGGTTAGGCGGGAAGTCTCCCCAAATTCCAGCACATGCCGTGTCAGGTCAGCCACCTCTGGAAGTACCTCAAGGAAACTTTCTTTCAGTATTTTGCCACATCTGTTTCCAGTCCTGGATGGAAAATAAGAGTGAAAAAAATGCTCAAAATATCTGAAAACCTCAAAAGGTTTTGGTTTGGGTATCCTGGTCTACAGATGGGTGACAGTTCCAGGGTTTTATCAGAACCACTTTGCCCTCCTCTGGTTATAATACCATGTTACTTTCTGCTGGTAAGAAGAAAAATTGCAATTGTCTTAGAGATAAATTCGAATTTTATTCCTGGTGGGAAAAAAATCTCTGTTTCCCTAGTGGTTCCTCACCAGGCCTCTAGGCATGGTGGAGGGAGGTGGGGGGCTGCTCCAAACTGCCGGAAAGGGTGGGGCTTTTGGCAGAAGGGGCGGAGCTGAGGCTAGACAGCTGTCAGTGCCATGCAGAGAGTGGTTTCCCCCAGCCCTCAGTGCTATCCAGAGCATGGTGCACAGCACTCTCACAGTGATTTAAAGGGCCCCTTTGTATTGCCAGGCTCAAGGGCAGTTGCCTCCCCTGTGGTGGAGCTGACTCTGCCAGCACAATCATGTGAGGTGAGCGAGAAGTAAAAGTTGGATTTAATGGCTGTCCCCTTCAAGGATTATGAATTTCTTTCTTGAGTTTTTCACTTATTT